GACACCTAAACTCCCACAAACTCGCTTGTGATTGCTGGGATTTGCTTTCTAGGTACATCTTTTTGAGAGTACACAGCATGCAGTCAAAGCATTCCGAGTGACAGACAAGCAACAAACGACACCAGCGACAGGCAATTGGGTACTTGTCGATGCCATGGGGCTGACACCCGAGCTGTCGTCGGATGCCCGACTGGCCACGAGTGTCGCCGGATCCCTAATGGATTCCAGTAGCTCTAGCACTAGGCGAGTGGGCATCTGTGGTGGGACTTTGGCCGGCAAACTGGTTGAGAGGAAGCTTGGCGTGCATGATGGCTAGCTAGAGCTCTTGATTGACTGGTAGTCAAGCAAAAGCATGCCAGTCACCAAGCCGTCAAGGACGAGCGTTTCTGGTGACTTCTGTCCGTGTTGCATTCATTGCGCAGAAGTGCGCAGAGAAGCAAAGCGTCAAGCCCACATCCCTAAGTGATCGGCCCTCGTAAAGCTGCGTCCAAAAGCATGAACAGCCTCAACCCAAAATCTTACTGTCAAGAAGGGGGAGTGCCTAACCTCGAAATACCCAACCCCCTAGACCCTAAAACTCTGCGAACACCGGAGGTGGTTGATAACAATCCCGTCTTCTTCCTCATCCGTCAGGCCAGAGGGATCGAGGGGTTTGAGCTTGCACAAGGGCTTCTTGAAGTTGCTGGCGTATCATATTTAGGGTTCCTTTTGACAGAGCTTTTACTGTTGCACTTATTGGGAAGGGCAGGGGGGATGTGGGGGGCTTCTCAAGATTTCGGGGAGGCCCTGGACAACAGGGTTAAGGTGCACTCCCCTAAGGACTAGCGATCCCTGAAGAACCGTATGCCACAGCTCCGGTCTGGTGGAAATGGAGCAGGTGCCCGTTGACTGGCGTGTAGTGCAGACTAAGCCAAGCTGCTGCATCTGGTTTGCTCTTATCTTGTTTGACGGAAGGGTAGGTGTTCGGAGTTCGACTGAGAGGTCTGCCTTGCCCAGGCGAGGATGTTGGCTATCATATTAACAGAGTATAGTGTACTATACACAAATATGCTATACTGCTGTACTATACTGCAAGACATTCAAAACAGTCTAGACACACACACATATACATACATACATACATACATACAGACACACACACACTTATAGATAAACAAAGAAATAGATACATAAATACATACATATATATATATATATATATGATATATGTGTAAGGATTTACGGGACCTGGCGGCTCGATTTCGGGAGCGTTGAGCACTTGACTCGAATAGTGGTCCTATAGCAGTAGTGTTTAACTCATAATATCAGGGGCACTAAGAATATCGCGATTCCTCAGCGTCCCTTTATATAGTCACAGTAGAATATAACCCCCCGGCGGCCCGACACCCTATGTTACTTTCTGACAGCTGCTTAAGCAGCTTTGCGAAGAGCATGCCACTCCTACTCGTAGTGCTCCGGCCGCAGGCACCTGTACTCGGAAGACTGGGGGACTTCGTATTACAAGGGTACTTCAGGGGCCGGTCACTTCGGGTCCCAGTATGCCAATATTAGTGGGGTTAAAGGCGAACGCCGAAGTCACTGCCACACCCAGAACCAGCCTAGCATCGTAGTATATTCAAACCGTACATAAGTTTACAACCTTACAGAGCTCAAGGTTCCCTTTAGCCTTTAGCCGGGTCCCAGCTTCGAGCTACAAGGCGGTAGAACATCAGAAGAGTCTGAAAGCCTGATTCCCTAAGAACCTCCATCTTCGAAGGATGGACAAGACGCCTCGCCGGAAGGACATGATGGGCTTTAGAGGTTCTTGGGTCGCAGTTTCAGCTCTCGGTTTCTGGCGGCATCCGTTCTTCCTTGCTGTACCTATAGATGCTGTGACCCTCTGATAGCGTCCCGTGAAGATGCCGGCAGCGAGTCAGCGAGATGGCAAACACATACAGAGAAGCGGTAACAAGATTGCTGCGGCAATTTACTGTAATCTGCAATCGCTCGCAGCCTACGGGTGGCTCATGGTTCTTGCGTTCTTGTGGGTGTGCTCGCAACAGCTGTCTGTTACGACTGGCAGGTGTGCTTGGCACATTCTCAGGTTCAGACCGGCGAGTCCAGGTTGGACATACCTTAAGCACAGACGGAAACCCTGATGTTTGAACCCGGATGACCTAAAGCCTTTGAAGGAGGTCTCCTCGGTTTCACTGCCGACGCAAGACGCAGAGGCTGAGACGGAAGCAGCGATCCTTGGCAGGTAAGGGATTGAGATATCAGTTGGGGTCTGAAAGCTAGTGGCGATCTGAAGGCCGGAACCCCAAGATTCTGGACCCTTCTGAACCGAAAGCCCTTGCAGTGTCAAACCGCAGACCCTGAAACCCTGAAGCCGTCTGCCATTGATGCGTTTTGGTTGCGGAGGTATCCTTTTTTCTCTTTCTGGTTTGCCGGGGGTGGAGGTAAGGAGTTTAGGCAAGGTCGCGGCTAAATGCTTCCCAGTCTACTCAGCATCTGGTTAAAAAGGCTTCGCAGTCCTCTGACCTTTTCAGGTCCCGAACCCACCGAAACCTTGACAGCCCTAACGCCCCACGCCGGATATCCCAAACCCGAAGCTACAGCTACGGTAAGTGCAGCACCTGAGGACTGGAAGAAGCCCGCAAGGTCACGCCGTCAGTGGTGTGTCAGAGCTGTTGCTGGGTTCTTTGGGGCTTTGATTTGACTGCTAGCCTCTATGGTTTACAACTTGCCATGCCATAGGTAGAGGTGCATGAAGTGAGTTTGATTTCGTGAAACTTTCATTGACGTTTCGGTCTGCTGATGTTCACTCAGGCCATTGAGCTAGGGTTTTTGTGACGTGAAGTGTTCATAGGACGTGACGCTGCTAATCTTTATGAAGTTAGAGCAGCCAAGCCGGTCGCAGCAGATCAGCAGCAGAGACAACCAATGCTGACAGGAACGAGCGGCTCTCCGAGAAGCGGCAGAGCGAGAGTGAGGAGACAGGGTTGTGCCAGAACTTCAGATGGATTTCTCGAATATCAGGGCCTGCGACAGGTTTCTATAGAGGCCAGCTTGTGATGTACTGCACGCACCTCTACAGTGTTGCAGCGGAGCCCAGTTGTACTAAGTAGCAGTAGGGCTGCTTTTGCATTGGCTGAGGTTCGTTGTCCTAGTCCCGAAAGGTATGCGGGGATATGGACCTTTAAACATCGCTACTCCGTCATAAACAAGAAAGAACCCCATAGGGGTGTAGCAGGCGTGAGGGAGGGGTGTAGGGGTGTAGGGGTGTAGGGGTGCAGGGGTGCAGGGGTGTGGGGCGCAGGGGTGCAGGGGGAAGGGGTGCAGGGTGTAGGGGTGTAGGGGTGCAGGCGTGCAGGTGTATGGGGGTGTAGGGGTGTAGGGGTGTAGGGTGCGGGGGTGTAGGGGTGTAGGGACGAAACCTACCTCTATGAAAAAGCCGTGCAAACTTGGTCAGATCGGCGGCCGCATTGCTGCTCACAGCGTTGTGGCATCAGGTCGGAACAGCAGAATTGCCAATACCGTAAATCCCATCATCTGGAGGTAACCCAGCCCCGCAGCACTCTGCCGCAATTTTGCGGATCGGATATTAAACCAACACATGCACCTGTGTGCGCGTGTGCGCGTGTTGGAGGTGGTTGGAAATTTTGGTATCTGGGAGAAATGCTTGCCAGCAACTGGTTTTTGGCGTTGAGGGTCTGCGAAACTTCAAAATCCAGTGGAGTGCGCAAAACCTTGATCTCGAGAGAAGCTTCGTCAGATCAGTCCCTGTCCCGCCGGCTTCAGCTGGCCGCTTGGCTGGTGCAGGCTAAGAGAGGGTCGAAATTCCGTGGGTTCCTTAGTGTGCTTCAACGTTGATACCCGATGACTAAGTTCTAAGGCCTGTATGTAAAGCTCGCCAAAGGCAGATAGAAACGTGGAGAGTGTGGAGGGCCGTAGGCGGCTACAGACCAGAAAGTCTTCCTGCTGTGATTACGAAGTTTTCTCCAGAGGCAGGGTCACGCAGCGTCAGCAGAGGTACAAGACTGGAGGTTGGCGATGTGGCGGCGGCACCACTTCGTATCGGACTCGCAGCCGCTTGGGAAGCAAAGGAGACGGGAGCTTGTTCAAAAAACTGTAAAATTATAAACTAACTGACACAAGCTGTACAGCTGCAGCAACTACAGCTACAGGCTCAATGCGCACTTCATGCACTGATCGTGGCCCTGCGGCACAGATTTATCAAGTGGCATGTGTGGCACCAGCATACAGGCAATGGACGTCCATAAACATGGGCTGTCGTCATCTTGCCTAGTATGGCATATCTTGATGGAAGAGCGTATGTTGCTTCTCATCTTTTGAAGCACACGCAACTTTGTAGGTCCCACTTTTTGTTGAGAGCTAACTGCAGTTCAGCAGTCTCTTGTGCATGCCTAGATCGTGCCCCTGGAGGGTTTCACGTCCGGTCACAAGGCAACGTTTCCGGATGCTTGTGAAGTTGCTTGACGGAGCCCTTGCAGGGTGAGCTCGGCCATTTCGACAGCTTCGCGTTTCTTTTCCAGGTGTGTTTAGTTCGTCCTAGGGGCAGAAGCCCCTCCCATGGTTTCTGCTGTAGCTTGAGGGAGCCCATCTGGGTGAGCTCGGCCTTTCTTCCCGTCCGGTCACACGTCGTTCGGCAACGTTTCCGGATGTGGCTATTCAGCCAGTACCCAGCCATCGACAGGACAGAGATGGCCTGTGTTTCAAACGGTTCCGAAATCCAAAGACCCTAAACATCCTTAAGCCAAAACAGTGTAGAGCATGCGTGACCGCATGTGACCGTAATGGGCGTTCGCGTTCAGGACTTCCGGTCTCGTAGTTCCTGATGTACCGTAATGATGTGGCAAATCGCCTCGGTCCCCCGCTCCCTTGAGGGACGCAGCTTTGCACACCCGTGCCATGCTCAAGCACACCCGGAAGAGCTGCTCTGTCACGAGCATCAGTGCGAAGACCCAGTCCGAAGTACCAGAGTTGACGCATAGGGGGAGCAGGATGTACCGCTAGACAGTTCAGCCATGGATCCGGCAGCCGATAGTGCGATTGGGCGAAGCACTTGCACTCAGTCGCCGCTTCTCCGCTGAGATGAGTTAGACAGTTCGACATGATTGTTCTGAGCCGTTTCGGGGGGAAGGGGTTCCCGGTGTGGATCGGCATCCGTCAACCTAGCAACTGTCCTAACCCTGTGTTCGTCGATGCGGTCATGCATAAGGATAGATGTGGCAATGTGGCAACAAGCAGTTCATGTGGCATGACTCCATCTGCCACCTAGAGGATTGTCAGACAAACTGTGCTGCCTTGTCTTTGAGCGCTGCACCAAGGCAGGCGATGATCTCGAAAGCCTTCGTTCTTGGAATCGTGGAGTACGCGAACTGGGGACGGTTGGAAGGTGCAGGGGCGGATGCGAAACAGGCAAACAAGTTCCTCGGCGATATGGGCCACGGAGAAGCCACCACAGTTCTGAGTGGTGAGGTGCCGCAGCAGATCTTGTGTCAAGCGCTGACGACATGGGTTCGGGACATCCCCCAGGCGACACACGGTCAACAGCGGCCCGTTCTGATCGGCTTCTTCAGTTGCCATAGCATGACGAAGCCGAACGGTTTCCCCCTCCTACTTGCGTCCGATGCCCCACGGAAAGAGGATGTTTCTGAGGCTGAGGCTGTACCGGCCATTGATATTGAAGAACAGCTAATTGCGCCGATCAACAAGATCCAGCTAGACGGGGAACGTTGGCTGCGTGTGATCTTGGTTTTTGATTGCTGCCTGTCTCCATTTCATGGTGCCTTACATGACACCTGGACGAGTAGGGGACCTTCTGCTTGCCCTCCCAGTGTCCATGACTTCTATTTCCTCTTTGCTTGTGATCCTGGCCTTGAGGCAGCGGAGAGGCCCAATGGGGGTGCCTTAATGAAAGAACTGATGCCTCGCTTGCGGCAGCAGCTGCCTATTGAGCAAATCTTCAATGAGGTAGGGGCAGAGTTGGCGCGAAAGTCCCAAGGTTCGCGCCTTCGCATGTCGCAGCGACCCTGGACCATGTACCGCCTGTCCGAGACGGGCCTTGTCCTAGCCGAGCCCATTGTCATCCTTCTTGTGGGTGAGACAGGCTCTGGAAAGAGTACTTTGGGCAACGCGCTCTTGGGAAAGACGAGCTTTAAAGTGTCACGCAGCATGGTCTCCGAGACGCCTGGGTTACAGCATGCCGATGCAAAGGTTGGAAACCAGACTCTGAGAGTCTATGACACTCAAGGCTTTGGAGACAATCGCGATGGGCAGGTGGTTGGCGAACTCTTTCCAGCCTCCGGGGGAGTCGATGCCATCCTCTTCGTGATGCGGTTTGGCCGCTTCACCCAGCATGATCTCGAATTGTTGGCTCAGTTCCAGAAAAAAACGCAGACACCGCCCGAGCGCATGCTGCTAGTCTTCTCACAGGCCCTTGAGAAGGCCGATCTTTCGCCAGAGCTGTTTAGAAAGGAGGTGGAGTTGTGGTCTGAGCAATGTGTTCCCTTGCGAGCTGCGCTCACACAAGTTGCTGGCATAATGGCGACGGAGTGCGGCTCCGTTCCAGGGCAACGAAAGGCTCGAGACCGTGTTTGGGAGTGGATGCGCAGGCATGCGCCAGCATACAATCTGAAAAGCAAGCTGCACGTCGCCGAAGTTTCGACAGCGGGGATGGCCGAAGACGGGCTTCGAAAGAACATATCGTTTCCAGCTATCGGCGTGCGGGGACCAGCTCACAGGGACGCTCTCCCTAAACAGCACGCTGTCAGTCAGAGGTTGTCACCAGAAGATCAGAGACATCTGGAGCAGTCCGGTTCGAAGCCTGCAGACAGCTGCGTGAGGCCAGGCCGGGAACACCTGTTTCAAGGTGTGACAGAAAGCTTCAGGGCCGTGGGTGACGCTTTCGCAGATATGGACGAGGTCAGGCAGAACGTCCCGGCCCGGATGTTCGTGTCGGCCTGGAGAACAGGGGTTGACGTGCTGAGCGAACGTCATCAAAACCAGGCAGAACCGGAACGAAAGCATAAGCGAGCTACAGACTACCAGTATATGAGGGAGCTCAAAGAGTTGGTGGCCATGGGTTTCAGGGAGGGCGATGCCCACGGCGCGTTGGAAGCAACGGGGGGCAATATCGAAGCGGCTGCAAACAGACTCTTGGGCTAGCGGACGCTTTCTGAGATCGCGATCCCAAGCAAAAGATCCTCCGAAAGTCCGAGTTCTGCGCGCCCCGGTTGAACCAGCCTCTGAGCTTAGGCTCTGAAAACGAAGCGGGCCAGGGTCAAGATGGTGAAAAGCCATGGCACTGGCAACAACCGGTGCAATGGTGGGAAGGAATTCTTGTAGGAGCCATCATCGTGCTAGCCTGGTCGCCTATCGCAGGGGTTCATGTTGGGGGCACGGGGCTTTCAGCAGACTATTCACGATCAGTTTTCACTTCTGCGAACGTCCATGTCTGAGCCTTGTTGCATTCGCCCGGAACGGCTTGTTTCGGTGTCTCCATGTAGTCTTTTCGGTGTCTCCATCTAGTACTGGGTCCATGTTACGGAAACTACCTCGTATCGCTTGTGTCCCCAGTATGGCAGGCTCAACTTAACACTGCGGGGTACTTGACTGTGAGGACGTCCCCGAGGCTTCGGCTCCAGCCCAGAACCCCCGGTCAAAGCGCGTTTTTGTTTTGTTGCCGCCGCGCCGGCTCAGGCCTTGTAGAAACGTAGCTTTCCACAGCAAAGGTCCCTTGTTGATCGAGGGACTTTGCATAGGTTGCTGCATTTCGCGATGGGCCGCGAGCTGCTGACCGGCTCCGTGGTGGCTGAGCTGCTGCTTTGCAGGTTGGGCCTTTCTTCCATGATCTGAGCTGGAAAAGCGGTTTTTCCGAAGAGTCGCCGGTGATCTCGGCTCGTGGACTTCGGGAGAGGCGACCGCTGATCGCCTCGGCTCTCTGACAAGAGCCTTTCAGGCCCCGAGTGACAGGCGTGCGCTGTTGCCCCTGTGCTGGCTCCATGCAACTCCCAGGCCTTTGTCATGACGCCTCTTTTTTGAGGAATGCGCGGTGCACGGTGTCAGGGTCGCGTTGGCGAAGCCTGTGCGGTCTTCGTTGCAAAGACTGGGTGCCAGTGGCACTACCCCTACACCCTTAACCCTAAACCCAAACCACCACTCATTGAAAGCTCTTCGTTTCATCGGGCATAGACTGAAAGGCCGTCATCAGCGGAGCATTCAGCACAGCAGTCGCCGAAGTCATGCTACTGCACCCTGCCGGGGGCTTTACTGTCCGGACGCTTCATACAGCTGGGGACGGAAGAGTCCTTGCAGCTCCTAGCCCGAAGACCTCCGGGTGGCCAGAATCTGAGACACTCCTGAAGCAGCCGGGTTTTCGGGATTTCAGGGGTTCTGGGGTGACTTAAAAGCTGCTGCCTGTTTCCCCATAACCTGTGACACCTGCTAGCTGGCTGACGAGGGCGAGCCAGGGCTGGTACTGGTACCTGCATGACAGGGCCGCCGCTTCGGTTCCGTAGCCCTCAGTTATCAGAGGCCCATGTGTGGGGTTGCTGTTTGCCGCCTCTTCTGTCAACCCCGCTCACATCTACGACGCCTCTGGCAGTCCTCCCAAGCGCCCCACAGGGGCTCAACGAGGTGAGCTTTCCGAGGCCAGGCAGCCCTTTTCGGGACCTCGAGGTTGAATCCGCCCAGGTCGGTCGGGTCTCCGGGGTCTCCTAGTCCAGGGAGGCCCTGCAAGTGGGCCGGCGGCCTTGGGTGCAGATTTTTTGTTTTGGGGGAGATCTCGGAAAAGCCAGCATCCCGCACCCCAGACTGTCCCTTAAAACGGGGGGTGGTACTACCCTTCAAGTGGCCTTGTAGTTGTAGCAACCCTTCAGGGCTCCTAAAGTAGCTGTGACCGCAATAGGCTTCAAGAGGCTTCCGCTTCAAAGGCTCCTCGAAGCTCGGGCTTGTGCTCCGCAAGACACCAGCGGGGAGCTTGTAAGCAAAAGAGGCCTTCAAACCCCAAATCCCGTGGAAGACGCGGAAGTTCACCACCTCGCGCTGCGCTGGCGCCTGGAAACTGGTCGGAGGGAAGGAGGCTAGTAATTCCTCAGGCCCGACTGGCCCTCCAGACGAGTATGAGGAGGACGCGGCCTTACTTCCTTCCGTGTCTCAAGATGATCTCTGGTCGCTGGCTCGGTTCGAGCGGTCTGCACGGTTTGGCACGAAGGTTCCCACCTCGGTTCGTAGCCTCAGTGAAATGCCATGCCTGTCATCGGAAGAGTCGTTCCTTTGTCGGCAGTTGCCAGACGAGTTCGGCGGGCGAGAGACTGCTGTGAAGGGTGCCGATAACCGCTTCTGTAGAGTTACGAAGGCATCTGTGATGGAGCTGCGCACGGGCTGTAGCATCAATTGCTTATTCAAGCATAATTTTGTTTGTTTTGCCGAGCTCATACATAAATGTCAGGATGCCACGAAATCAGAGCAGCCTGTAACATGCGCCGAGCGGCACCAGCTATCGAAGTTCCACTGATGTCTCGAGATGTGTTTGAGCCCATAGCCCCTAAACCCTCAACCCCTAACCAGAAAACTTTGTTTAAGCCCATGCAAGCACGATGCTCATGTATGATGCGGCTCGGAAGATGCACAGTCTTCTGGCATCGACGGTAAAGGTAAAAGCAAGATCGCCGCCCCTAACCATAAGCCTCGATCCTAAATCCTCAACCCTTCAGCCAGAAACCGCCGGTCAATGCCGCCAGCTGCTCCAAACACAGCCTCGCACTGCCAAGCTACGGCCGAATTCTGATGGCTGGCATGCACGCTTTTCTGAAGTTGAGGGCCCAGCTTTGAGGACAAGTTTCTGATTAACGAGGCCATGTTGGAGAAAGCCCCAAGTGCACGGTGAACCATCTGGCACAATCTGGCCTCGTAGCACTTCCACAAGCGATGAGAAGCCTACCGCAACCGACCCGTCATGCCGAGAGGTGCCGCGACAGGTTCTTTGTACAGTATGCGATCAGGGTTTGCGATGGAGCAGTTGGAGGAGGTGTCGTGGATGCTTTCGGATCTCTGGTCGGAGGCCGTTCGTTGGAGCTCTCGTCGCATGGCCGGGCCGTGAGGGCCAAGAGGTTAAGAGATTAGTTGAGCGGTTCGAAAAGCCTGCGCAGCTTTGCTTGAGGGTTCCCGCTTCGGTTCGTAGTCATAGTGCACGACGATGCCTGTCATCGGAAGAGCCCTCTCTTTGCGAAGGGCCTTCCCCCATGTTTGTTTTTGCCACTCTGTCGTAGCTTGCCCGGATGACACGCCGTGCCTGTCGCCGCTCACTGCTTGCATGCTTTCAGAGAATGGCAGCAGGCCGAGGCCTCCAAGCGTGGCCTTTGTGGGCCTGGAGCCCAGGGCCAGCTGCCTTCGGCAGTGTCAGAGGCGTGCCTCCATACGAAGCGACTCTTCCTCGGAGTCTTTCCACAGGGTCCCAGAACTTGCCTTTTCATATTTAGAATCCTCTAAGGTAATCCCAAAAAGGAACTACTATGGGGGCTATGGGTATATTATAAGTCATGTAGGTTGCTGACGTTCTTGCCGGGCTGCAGGAAGGAGCAAGATGCCATCTCGGAGTCTCGGTTCCCACTTCTTGTGTTCCTCGTCTTCGCGCACACCCGGAAGAAGCGAGACATGCGGCCGCTGTCGATGCACTTTCGACGAGGAGAGGCTGTCGCAAGCAGACTTACATAGCCACCTCCTCCTCCCCCTCCTCCGCGCCAATGATTCGGTCATGGCCTGACAGCCGGTGATCCATGCAAGGCGCAAGGCTGCAGCAGACGTGACTAAGAGTTTTTCATGTCCCAACAGCGATCCCTCCCGTAGAAACTATCAGAATTACATGGCACCGACGCCTTCATGTGCCATAACATCTAACCGCTGGTGCAACGATAGATGGAAGCCTTTTGCGGGTGCCTGGCAGGGGACAGCGATGCCTCATCCCTCTAGCGATACCCCTCAAACTTTGTCTGCTGGGCGTCGCCTAGGTTTCGCCTTCCGCTGGATTCGTCGACTGTCGCTGTCTCGAGCATCGCAAGCGCAGTTGTCTTTTGGCCCAGGCTTGAGTGTGACCGCTTCGTTCCAAAACCCTGGTGCCGCATCTTCACACCGATCCCCACGTCTGCACTCGACGGCTTTCGCGGTTCTCAAGCGCCAGTGTCCCTGTGAGCCACGGGCGATTTTGTTTGTCTTAGGCCTGTGAGCCCTAAACCCATCCTCTCGGCGATGGCAGCATTTGGATCGTGGCGAATGGCACACTGAAAGGGCCGAGCTTTTGCTGCAGTTCGCGAACCTTGATGAAGGCCAGCTGAGTACAGGCATCCCTTCCGAGGTCCCGAAAGCCCGAATCACCCATGGACGCTCCTAGACAGGGGATGGCCTCATGGCAGCCTCCTTGTCTCCTTTGCAGCAGCGCGAGACCCGTGCAAACCGGATTCCCATGCTCCCGGAAAACAGGGCATGACAGTCTTCCTCACTCTTTGAGTCATCAGAGCTTGAAGACCGCGCACTGATCTGCAGTCAACTCGCATGACGACTGTCCGGCATCAGGGTTTAGAGGACAACCGCGGCAGCAGTTGAGTGCTCGGACGTCCCTGTGAAAGCCGTAGTACATCCATCAAGTCGTTTTGTAGCGCTTCTAGAAGATCCCTTTACTGGAACCGTGCAGCCTGGCCACGAACAGCTGAATCTGAACGGCGCCGGTAAAGTAAGGAGGTGTCGACGCGTGCTGAGGGCCCCGGAATGGTGGCGCCGGCACTTCCAGGCAGATCTCTGCGAGCAGTTGAGCCTTCAGGGGGCTTGGGGTTTAGAAGGAATCCTAAACCCTAAACCCTAAACCCAGGTTAGTGTTTTCATCGGTGCTTCTTTCAGGGGCTCCTCGCTTCTAGCCAAGAATCCTCTTCGGGCGGTTCTCGGACTTGGGACGTGGGCAGTTGCGTCGTCGATTGGCATAAGCTGGGTCGCTTCCGTGTCGTTCGAGCTCGCGGGACGGAGTCAGGAAACTGCGGACGCCTCGATGGCAACCGCAGTCGCAGAAATACTCACGGCCGCTTCTTGCAAGGGCAGTTTGTGCAAGGCCACCGTCAGAGCAAATGTGCAGGAGGCGAGATTGAGCTTTTTTTTCATGCGCCTGAATTCTAGTGCAC